CACCGTCGCTCACCCGTCCCTTGCGCCCGCGGCCTCGCCTAGCCGCTCCGTGTGCACGCTGCCCGCCCCCACGGGCCGCAGGAGACCTCCCTGCCGAGTCTCTCGCCGCCCGGTTCATCGCCCGTGATCTGGGCGTCGAGTTGCGCGGGTCTTCCAACGCCGCGGCCGCGCCCATCACGAGCGGCGATGGAGCAGGCGCAAGCCACCGCCCCTGATGTCCGCCCGCGTCGTGAGCGATCGGCCGGCCCTGAGAGCTCAGGGGAGAGCGTCTCCCCACCCCAAGGTCCAGCGAAACCGCCGGCTGATCGCTCGGACATGCGTTGGGAGCGCAGTCTCCTCGCCCTTGCGGCAGACCACCATGCGTCGCCCGACCAGGCAGGGAGTCGCACATCAACCCCACCACGTCGCGAAAACCGGTCGAAGACCCCGTCACCCGGCCGCGGTTCTGCTCCCCTGGCGTTGGCGCTGCCCCGCCAGGCGGTGTCGCGTCCCCCATCGCCGATCCGTCAGCCGCAACCGTTGCGGGGGGGGGGAGCCTCCCCGTCAGCGCGCCGGTCCACAAGAGTCGCCTCGACGGCGTCCTCAGGCGACGATACACCCCGCACAGCCGCCTCGCCGCGCGGATGGGCGTGACCATGGCGGGCAACGGCGGGGTTGGCGTGGTGGGAAAGCTCACCGCGGGGCAAGCGGGCGCGAGGCCGCCGCCCTGCAGCAAACCCTTGCTCAGCATACCGCCGTGCTGGAGAGCTTGTGTGCCCACATGCAGGGGGCTCCAGCGATGCGCCAGCCTGCTGCTGCCCCCCCTGCTGAAACGCGCGTCCAGCCTCCAACTGCGGCGCTGGCGGATCCTGCGCCATGTCCGACGGCGTACCCCTGGCCTCTCCTAGGCGCTGCGCCGAATTTCCCTCTCCGGCCTCCTCCCCCTGCTGCGCCAAATCCCCGTTCCGCCTACCAGTTGCCGGTTCCGCCCGGGCGCCCCCCGTCCCTGTCCGAGCCAACCTTGCCATCCTGGCAACCGCCTCCGCTCCTGTCGACCGCCCCAGAGTGGCTGGAGCCACAGCAGCCGCCCCTTCCATCGATGTTCTCAGGCCCGGGTGCCTATGGTCCGTTCGTCCCTCCGCGTCAACGGCTCCCCTCGCCGACTGGAGTTGATGCGGGGGCAGCGTCAGCGGAGATGGGGGGGGCGGAGTCCTCTGGTGAGGGCTCCCCTCCTGGACATGGCTCCGGTGGCCAGCGTCGGACTGGCGGGGTGCGGATTCCGCCCAGGGTCCGGGTCGACCGTCTTCGGCGCGTGGAGAGGATGGTGGCGATTCCAGCCGCCACGCTCCGCCGCTGTGGGGACTTGGGGACGGCTACGGGGAAGGTGGCGGGGATGCTCGCCGTAGCGCACTCTGCACTGCGTGGCACGGGGAATCCGTGGACGCTTCCCCACATGTCCCTCCAGAACTGCTCCGACGCATCAGATGATCTGATGGTTCTTTTTGGGCGTGTGCTGCCAGCGCCCTCCCCGGGAAGCGGCATGGACCGCGGGGTTGTCGTAGCAATGAAAGCAGTTGCGGGGAGCCTACATTCCGCATCAACCGTAGATCATGTTGGCGCCTCCGTGTTAGTGCTGCGATGCGTGGAGCGGCTGCTGGCAGGTTTGCTGGCGACGGCAGGAGAGGAGGGCGACGAGTGATCGGCACCCTCCGTTGATAAGTGCGTGGAGGCGACCCTCTGTCGAGCGTGAGGGCTCCAGTGAGCTGTATCAGAGACTCCATTGGGAGTTATCTGTTCAAGTGTCCTTCAGGTCCAAGTCTAAAGTTGGAGGGGCTCCATCACGCATGCCTTGTACTTGCTGCGTTATATTGAATCCTGGACTTGCCACCCCCTCACGCGCGGCCGAAGGCCGCCGACGCGAGCCGCCACCAAGGGTAGGAGAAAGAATAACTGAAAACTAAACAAGGAAAATGAGGCAGGGAGAGGCCTTAAATAGAGAGGAAAGGACTCAGGGTCTCTCTCTCTCGCTCTCTCTCTCTCCTCTCGCTGCCGCCAACAAGGGTAGGAGAAAGAATAACTGAAAACTAAACAAGGAAAATGAGGCAGGGAGAGGCCTTAAATAGAGAGGAAAGGACTCAGGGTCTCTCTCTCTCAAGCGGTCCTTGTATTGAATGAGAACGTTGTACAGACTAAACATGCGGGCAAAAACTTCAAACCTATCAAAGGTGCGTGCATGCTGGGGGAGGGCAGCCGGACTACTGGAGCTCCCCGAGGGGCTCTGCTATGGCAAAACAGTCCCCTAGGCCCATGGTGGCGTCAGGGGTACCCACGGGGGGGTACTCTGCCGGGGCAGCCTCGTTGACCTTCCCAAGGTAGGCCAGGGCCTGTGCCCGCTGGAGCGTGACGGACCAGCGCTGGCGGAACTGATGCAGCAGCTTCGCTGCCTGGTAGGAGCTCGGGTCCGCGTTGAAAAGCCGCCTTGCCCCTGTGTCCGCCAGGAGCTTCAGAAAGCTGGGAACCTCGGCACAGGGGCAGCCATAGGTCTCCACGGCCAAGGGGAAGAAACCAACATAAGGTGCGCGGTTACGGTAGTGATCAATCTTCTTATCGGCCTGCTCCCGGGCCATATATCCCCGCCCCTTGCGTGCGTGCGGGTCCCGGGTGCTGATGGGGTCCGTGACAGTGACGTCACAGATCCAGACGGCACCAGAGTCTCTGTCGCGCATGGCTAGGTCGGCCTTATGACCGTCGACCGGGCTGTAGGTGGTGGTCTCCTTGGTGACGATGAACCCGGCATCTCGCGCCATACGGATGCATTCGTCGCGGAGTGCATTGTGGGTGTCCGTCCGGCCATGCCCCGTGCCGCAGCGGAAGAGGTGGTTGGGCAGCCGGGGGTCAAGGATCTCAATCTCGTCTGCGTAGTTGCAGTTGCGTGGGGCTGGGAAAGGGAGGCCGAGGCAGAAGGCGAGGGCAATGGCAAAGTGCGGTGGGCCGAGGCGGAGAGAGGGGAAGATGGGGATGGCATGGATCCAATCCCCTGCCCCGTAGCCTGCCAGGGAGAACAGGCGCTGTGTGTGACCGGAGCTGGGGTTCAGCACCATCCCGCGGGACGCTGCCACCTGGTCCGCATATCGGGCGGCTTGGACTTCGAGGGATAGCCGGTGCTGGAGTGGGGTTCCAGATGGTTCCTGGCGTTCGGAGCGCAGGAGCTCTAGTGCACGGGTCGGCATGGCTGCCTCGCACCCCGCCAGCCAGGTATGGAGATGGTTGGGGCTGGAGAAGGGGGGGTGAGGGGGCGCAGTGCAGACGCCAGGGGCCCATCGGCTGCTGCTGGCAGGACGGCGAGGAGGTGCTGCGCCTGGGTGACGCTGGCCAGGAAGGCTGGGGGGCCTTCAATGGCGGGGTCGGAGAGGCCCAGCCCGCCGAGCGAGGGTGGAAGTGAGGCTTGGGCCCAGGTGCGCGCACGTTCGGCTTCCCCTCAAGGAAGTTGGAGGTTGCACGCGCGGAGGAGTGTGTGAAAAAGCCCCCGTCCCCACTCCGACCACTTGGGTTGTGGGAGGAAATCCAGGGGCGTGGTGCGGATCAGGTAACTGACCCGCCGCGAGATGCAGCGCGTGAGGAGGAGTGACGCTGTTTGGGGGTCCATGGAGGCGATGGTGGGGAGTGGTTCGGCCAGCGAGGCCAGCTGGGAGCGGAGGAAACCAGCTGAGCCCTCCGCTGTCCCGACAAAACTCCCCAGCACCCGTAGCCCCTCGCTGTGGAAAGGGACGTCCGGGGGAATGGCGTCGGGTGGGGGAGGGGTGGGAGACCACGCTCCACATTTCGAGGGTTGTGCGTAAGGCCGATGGCCCCCACAGCGCCCGTGAAGTGGTGGAAGGCCGCTGTACAGGCGGCCGGATCTCCCACGAACGTCACGTCGTCCGCGTAGGCTAGACAGAGGACGTCGGGGTGGGCGACAGCTGTTGATTGAAGTGTGGGGTGGATGGCTGCAGCGAAGAGCAGGGGGCCCATGGGGTCCCCTTGTTGGACGCCCCGTGCACTCTGGAGTGGGGGGCTGGCGAACCCGTCATCGAGGTACAGGAGCGAGGGGGAGCCGTATGAAAAACGGATAAACGGTAACAGCGAACGAAGGGGCGAGGCGTCGATAGCGGTGATGATCGCCCCTCGCTCAACGCTGTTAAACGCGTTAGTGAGGTCCACTTGGACGATCACGGAGCCGGGACGTGCGGAGGTGAAAGCCCGAGTGGCGTGGATGATTGCTTCCCCGCCGCTCCGAATTGCGACGCCGAACTGAAGTGGCAGAAAGTATTATTGTGCGGGCTGAGTTGTCGAGATGAGGGCTGCTTTGGCGGTAAGGCGATGGAGACATTCGCCTATGGCGATGGGGCGTGTTCCGCCATCAGGTTTGCGAAGGGCCAGCAGACGTGACGCGGTTAACAGCTCGCTGACCTCCTGGGGCAGGTTACCGGCGAGGAGCAGCTGCACAATTTCGTGTAGGAGCTTAGCAACGTGTGGATTGGTGAGCGAGGCGTCGCGCAGGTGTTCGAATGTCATCCCCGAAGGACCGGCGCCCACCCCATTTTCGCTACGCAAAAGTAGGCGAATGAAATGGGCGAAGTCGAGCGCTGGTGGGTTGACGTCGTCCAGGGAGGGCCACGTGAGGTCCTCAGTCAACAGTCTCGGGTGTTTGGACTTCAGCGAGTCAAGAACCTCCGGGGTTGACTCGCTGACTGGGGTTGACTGGAGTGCCAGCAGGGCTCGGCGAAGGCTGCCTCTTCGCACCAGCCCCTCAGCTCGGGAGATTTTCCCGAGGTCGTCACGAACATGGCGAGGGGGTGCAGGCAGTGCGACAGCAGCAGCTGCTGACTGGTAGAGGGCGTCCCACTGGCCTGCGAGGAACTGCTGCAGGCGAATCTCCATCGCTGGCCAGTCCGGGCGTTTGGGCGATGACATGCGAAGAGTTAGGCGGGGGAGAAATAGTAACAACCGCCAGCCCCTGATTGAAGTTGGATTTTTCGCGAGAAAAAGGAGGGGCGTCAGCAGGGCTAACGCGAACAGCTGGCGAATAGTGGGGGGTAGTCGCCTTGAAAGAGGGGGCTGGCGACTGTCGCACAGCACCGCGATATCCCAGCTGGCTAATTGGGCAAATCGTGAGGCATCGCGGGCCAGTTCCTCTGGGGATAATTGCCTGGCTGCCTGGGAGGGAGTGTCCAGTGGGTGGGCAGCTGGTGATCCCGACTGCTCAAAGCCCCTGGATCTGGGAGAGGGGTTTCGATTCTCGCTCCCCACCCGCCCCGGTGCCCTTTCCCCCAGTGCGCCACTGGACTCGTCTGTGGTAGATTCCATGTGCGAATCCTGGATATATGTACCATCTCGTCTTTCTTCTTCGTCAGTTGCCTCCCGCAGTCCCATCTCCCTTAAAGCCCTATTCGCAGCTTGCTGGAAGCCATTCAGCGGGCCGCCGTAGCGTTCCAAGTCGCCGGTCCTTAGGCGCCCGCTCCCGCGCCCACCACTACCTCGGCCCCTGGTTCTGCTATCCCCGCCTCCGCCGTGTCCCCTCCGCGTGGCGCTGCCCCGTGCAGCGGAGCGTGGAGTAGGCGGACGTTCGCCACGCTGCCTCGCTGTGCCCGCTCTAGGGCGCATCGGTGAAACGGATGGCTGACCGGGCTGATCGTGCTCGAAGAGAGCGTTCCGTCGACCGCGAGAGTTCGGGGGAGAACGCCCTCCTCCGAGGTCGGTCGAGCTCCCCCCCCCTGTCGGACCGGCGGTGGGCACGCGGGCTCCCAGCGCCGTCCACGAGCGCGCCCGTGTCCCCCAGTCGGATGCGAGCGGCGACGCCGCCTCGGCTGGAGGGGCGGGCTGTGGTGGCGGGCGTAGAGGTCCGCCAGTGTCCTCCTGCTGAGTTGTCGACGCCTGCTGTATCCCGTGCGGCGGGCCCTCGCCCCCCCCCGGTGTTGCCGTCTCGGCCCCATCCGCAACAGCAGTGTGCGCCAAACGGCCCCTCGGGGCGTGGTGGCTCGCGTCGGGGGCGGAGGGGGAGCGCACTGGAGAGACGGCTGGCGCGGACTGCCGCAACGCTGGAGGGGATACTCGAGCGGGCTGGCGCTGGGCTGCTCCCATCGCCCCCGCAGCGGGAGCCCCCCCGACAGCTCCTCCATGAAACCCAGCCTCCATGTCCGCCTCGAGTCCTTCCACCGACCCTCCCCGACCAGCCTGCTCATGTTGGAGCGTTTCCCCCTCCGCTGCGGCCTCCGGCGGCTCTGCTCCCAACTGTGCCGCTGCCTCCGTGGCAGCATTTGCCGCCTGGGGGCCCGTATGCTGCCCTGCACTCCGCTGCGCACCCGCCGCCCGTACCCGCGCCGGTCCTCCCACCCCCAGGGTACTACGACCTGCACCATCGGTCCCTGCAAGCGCCCCAGATAGGCAGCCCCGCGTCATCCGCCGGTACACTCCCGGAGTGGCGTCCCCCCTCGTCCTGGGCTGGGGCGGCGGAGTGGTCCGATCCCCAGGTGGGGCTCTACCGCGGAGGGGGTGTGGTCGGTCCGTTCGTTCCCCCTCGGCGGCGGGCGCCATCCCCACGGGGTGTAGAGGCGGGGGCAGAAGCAGCGGAGACGGGGGCCGCAGAGTCGCCAGGGGAGGGGTCTCCACGTCATGCTCGTGGGGCCGGGGAGGCGACACGGAGGAGCACGCCGACGGTGGGGCCGCTGACGGCGGCTCTTGCGGAGATAATGGTACCAGCCGCCACACTCCGTCGCCTTGGGCACGCTCGGAGGGGGACGGAGATACTGTTGACGATTCTGGCGGCGGCGAGCTCCGCGCTGGGGAGCTCAGGGGGCCAGTCAATGGCCCCGTACTTTCCCCTTCAGGGCTGCATGGAAGCAGCCATAGATCTCGCTGTGGAGGCTGCACGTGCGCGGCCCGGCCCCGCCCGGGGAACAGGCACGGACCCGCACCTTCTCGCCGCTCTCCGCCAGGTGTCGGCGTCAGCTGCAGGGCTTGTAGCTGGCGCCGTGTCCACGCTGCAGGTTCTGTTGTCGTACCAGGCCGCGTTGCTGGAGGAGGCTGGGCTGGCGGCTGTCGCGGAATAGCGGAGCGGCGGGAGTAGGTGCGGCCGGGCGGTGAGTCCTGCAGTCTGAGCGCCCCCGCACGGCGTATCAGGTGCTCCATGGGTGCTTGTGTATGCCTAGGCTAGGCCCTGCAGGCGAATGTTGTCTACTCCCTATGAGTCCTATATTGTATTCTTGTTGCTTGCCATCCCCTAACGGCGCGGCCGAAGGCCGCCGGCGCGAGCCGAAACCAAGGAGGAAAAGAGAATGAATGGAAACTAAACAAGGAGAATGGGGAGAGAGAGGGCCTTATATAGCTGAGGAAAGGCTCGTGCTCTCTCTCTCTCTCTCGCTCTCTCTCCTCTCTCGAGCCGAAACCGAGGAGGAAAAGAGAATGAATGGAAACTAAACAAGGAGAATGGGGAGAGAGAGGGCCTTATATAGCTGAGGAAAGGCTCATGCTCTCTCTCTCTCAAGCGGTCCTTTATTATGTTTATAAGGGGTACAGAGGTACAAACAGGCTTATGTATGTCCTAGTGTCCTCGAGCATCCTACTGCTGCCCGGGCCACTTGTCGCAGGTAGGTTCAATGGTGGCTTCCAGTTCTCCCCAGGTAAGAGGTTCGTCTAGGGGGCGGTCGTGGCTGAAAGCTTGGCCTGTCACCTGGCCAATTTTCGCATGGAGGGTGATTGCCTGCTGCCGCTGGAGGGTGACTGACCACCTCTGGCGATAGCTGTGCAGTACCTTATTTGCCACCGCCGACTTTTCGTCGCCCTGGTGGTTCCGGCGGGCTGAGAGGGCAGCCAGTACTCGGAGGAACTCGAGTGTGTCGGGGGAGCAGCAGCCGTATGTCTCAGTGGCGACTCCCAGCACCTTCACAAAGGTGAGTCGTTCGTCGTACAGGTCCCGCTTCTTGCCCTGCATCTCTGCCGCCATCCACCCCGTCCCCTTTCGTGCTGTTGGGTCGCGGGTTGAGATGGGGTCGGTGACTGTGACGTCACAGACCCATACCGCGCCTGAGTCCGGGCATCGGAGGGTGATGTCGGCGCGGCGTTGGGCAGTTTCGGGTAAGTAGAGCGTGGATTCCATGTGGGCCACGAAGTGGGATTCTCGGGCCAGTCGCATCCCGAGGTTCACGAGCGCGTCGTGGGTCCGCTTTGGACCCCCGCCTAGGGTGCACCGTAGCATGTGGTTGGGCAGCCGGTTGTCTGGTATCGCATGCTTTTCCCGGCAGTTGCATTTGCCGGGTAGGGAGTGCTGCAGGCCCATGCGGAAGGCTAGGGCCGTGGCAAATTGCCCCTTGCTCATGCTTAGGTCCGGGGAGAAGGGGATGGCGACTAGCCAGTCCCCTGCCCCTGGCCCGAGCAGGGAGAGGAGGCGCTGGGTGTGACCCAGGAGGGGGTTGAGTGGCATGTGTCTGGAGTCTGCCACCAGCCGTGCGTGCCTGGCCCCGTGTACCTCCAAGGCTAGGGCATGCTGGAGCTTGGCGCCAGGTCCGTCGCGCGGGCGGGTGAGTGTGGACTGCGCTGGTTCGGGGAGTGCCGCTTCTAGGCAGTTGAGCAGGTGGTGTAGGGGCGTTTGGGCGGTGAAGGGCGGAGTGAGGAGGTGGAGGAGGTCGGCGAGGGGTGAGGAGTCAAGGGGTTCCATGAAGCGGAGGAGGTCCCCGGCCTGTAGTGCGGAGGCCAGGTAGCTGTAGCTGCCTTCTGCGGCGGGGTCAATGAGGCCGAGGCCTCCTATGGTGATCGGCAGGGTCGCCTGTCGCCAGAGGAGGTCTCGGCCTTCAGCGTCCCGTGGCTGTTGGAGCTCGCATGACTTGAGCGCAGCTTCCAGCAGGGACTTCCCCCACTGCGTCCATTCCTTGGGGGGGAGGAGGTCGGTGGGGGTGGTGCGGAGGAGGTAGGATGCCCTCCTCGTGATGCAGCGGGTGAGGAGCAGCAGCGCAACTTGCGGGTGCAGTTGCTCTACCAGGGGGAGCGCCGCTGCCGCTTTTTCGAGCGTGCGGCGGATGATGTTCCCGCATCCGTGGGTGGTGCCGATGGGGCTGCCCAAGACCTTGATGGCGTCGTGGGTGAGTGGTACTCCGGCGGGGATGAGCGCGGGGTCCACCGGTGTGGGTGACCAGGCCGCGCACTTGCTGGCGTTGCAAGTTAGTCCAACCGCTGCTGCCCGACCCGTGAGGGCATAGAAGGCGGCTGCGCATGCCGGCGGCGGGCCGATGATGGTCACATCGTCGGCGTATGCCAGTATGAGGACGTCAGGGTAGTCCTCTGCTGTCATGGTCAGCGCCTGGTGGAGGGCGAGGGCGAACAGCATGGGGCCTAGCGGGTCGCCTTGGCGTACGCCCCGCTCGCTGATGAGCGGGTCAGCGCCGAACGCGTGGTCGAGCAGCAAGCTCGATGGCCTTCCGTAGAAGAGGCGGGTTAGGGGCAGCAGCCCTTTGAGAGGGCTGTCGCGTAGGGCGCGGAAGAAGGCGATGCGTTCGACTTAGTTGAACGCGTTGGAGAAGTCCACCTGGAGGAGGAGGTGTTCGGGGTGCTGTTCGAGGTAGGTTCTTGTAGCGTGCACCGCCGTCTCGCCTCCTCCCTTCATTGCCACTCCGAACTGCAGGGGTGCGAAGTGGGCTTGGGCCAAGGTCGTCGTGAGGTGCAGGCTGGCCTTGCCGAAGAGGCGTAGTAGGCACTCGCCGATGGCGATGGGCCTGGTTCCGCCGTCGGGTTCGGAGAATGCCAGCAATCTCGAGGCGGTGAGGAGGTCCGCCGCCTCTAGCGGCACTTGCCCTGCGAGTGCCGCGTTGGTCACTTCTGTGAGCAGATTCAGGACGTCAGCGTTCGAGGCGGCTGCGTCCCGCAGATGTTCGAAGCACATACCGCTTGGCCCTGCCCCGACCCCATTCGGGCTCCGTCGAAGTACGGTTCTGAGCTCTCGTGGGGTGATGGTGAGAAGCGGCTGCTGCGGCTCTGTAATGGCGTCGGTGGGTGGTGTGCTTGAGAATGTCACCCAGTTGGGGAGGGCGTGTTCGGCGGCGGGGTGTTTGTCTCGGAGGGCGTTAAGTGTCTCCAGGGTGGGTTCGCACACCGGGGTGGATTCCAGGGCTTGGAGGGCCTTCCGCAGATTTCCGCGCTTAGTGAGTGTTTCCGCTCGGGCTAAGTGCCCGGCGGTGTCATTCGCGTGGCGTGGGGGTCGTGGTAGTGAAATCGAGGTCACGGCCTCGTCGTACAGTGAATCCCAGGCGCCGGTGGTGAATTTGCGACAGCGTCGTAACATTCCGTCCCAATCTGGCTTCCTCGTCGGCGTGGTAGCGAGTGTCAGGCGAGGGAGGAGGAGTAACAGGCGCCAACCTCCTTTGCTGTCCCTGTTACGCGCGAGGTGTAGCAGCGGAGTCAGCAGGCAGGACGCGAACTCCGCCAGGATTTCACGCGGTAGGCGACGTGCCAGGGGTGGGAGCCTGGAGTCGCGGAGCACGGTCATGTCCCACTAGCACACTTTGGCGAAGAGTTCGTCGTTCTTCGCCAACGCCAGAGGGGATTGTACTCGCGCTGCAGGGGTTGGTCTGCGGGCGACTGTCGAGCCGCAGCGGGTGTTGGATGTGGCGGCTCGTCGGTAAGATTGGCCGGGCCGCACATTCGCGTCTCGGGCGGGGGAGTCCACCAAATCTCCCTCGTCTGGGGCGCCTTCCCAGTTTACCCCGATTGGGGGGGTATAAGTGGGGTCGTTTGCGTTTTGGATTTCATCGTCCTCGTCATCAGCTCCTTCCGTGTTCCCTTCTGCTGCTCCCCTCGTAGCTCCTCCTCTTGGTGTGTCTGCAGCTGGAGTGTCAGCACTTAGCCAATTTTCCATCCCTCGGTCCGTCCCTCCGTCTCTGCCCGTTTCTGACTCCGTCGCTCTATTAGCGTTGCTTGCTGCAGCGGCTGGGTCTGCTCCCTGTCGCCGATCTTCCCGTTGTAGGCGCGCAACGACGCCGCGGAAGGTTGCGGCGCCTGTCGACGCTCGCCCGAGCCCTCGTCCGCCCTTCGTTCCTCTGTGCCCTCGGGTTGTGCTTATCGCCCGCTCCCCCCCCGGGGCCGCGGTTGTACTTGCGCGGGCCGTGGCTCGCGTGTGCGGGGCTCTGCGTCTTTCCAGCTGCGCTAGAGATGACGCAGGGATTGCTCTTCTCCCCCTCGCGCCTGCCCCTACGTGAGGAGGAAGCGTCCCCGTCGCCGGTGGGTTCTCCTTCCGGCGTCTCGCTGGCTCTGTCGCCAACGTCTCAGCTGCGCTTGGAGTTTCGGCAGCAGCAGGTCCAGGTGGCAGCGATCGCAGGCGCTCTCGAGCAGCTTCTGCGGCTGCCTCGGTCCGCTGTTGGCGACCGGGTCGCGTGTTTTCCGCCGTCGGCTGCGCCCGCGCCCGTGATTGGACGAGAGGGTTTCGGGGGAAGTCCCATGGATCGCTCCCCGCGTCGCCCGACCGTCCTGTCGCCGGTTCAGCCGTCGTCGTTTCCTTCTCCGTCTCGGCTTCCGCCGTCGGCCCTTCCGCCGTTGCCCCTTCTAGTCCCCCCGGCCCCTCTGGCTCCTCCTCCGTTGGGGGGGTTAGCCGGTGGTCCCGACTCCTCTCCCCGCGGGGTCCTCCAACCGCCTCCTCCGCTTCCTCCGAAGTCGCAAGCGGGACCACCAGCCGCTGTCGGACACGACGTCGTATCGGGTCAGGGCGTGTCCGCGGGGTCTCCGCCACTGCCGCTGCCGTTTCGTCTGATGAAGCGTCCCCGCGGGGGCGCCGCGGCGGGCTCTCGGGCAGGGTCACCTCCGACCGTAGTGCCCGGAAGACGAAGGGACCGCTCTCCGCCTCTCTCCGGTCGTCCTCAGGGGTCGGGTTTGCGGGTGGGGCAGGGTATGCCGCCGACACCAGTGGATGTGCTCGGCGACCCGCCGCCGCTTCCTCATCCGCCTGTCCGCCTGGCGTCGCCGCACGCGTTCTCGCCAGTTGAGGCGATGGCCGGCGTCGTCGCATGTATTGGCGCGGTGGCGGAGGTGCTGGATTGTCTCCGCCCACCGCCGCTGCAGGCGCCTCCACGGAAACCTGAGGCGGGACGGTCGTGGCGGCTCGCCGCCAGCAGCGACGCGCGATGGAGGCCGCGTCGCTACTCCTCTGGCGGCTGGCCTATGGGTTGCCGCCAGGAGCAGAGGCGGGGGAGCTGGATCCCGCTCCTCGCGCCGTTGATGAGTTGAATCGGTCGCTCGTGGCGAATCAGCGCCCGGCGATCTTGGCCGCTTGCGCGGCGGTGCTTCGGGCTTTGGAGAGTCGGGCCGGGGCCCTTGTCCCGCCGTCGGCTTTGGAGGTGTAGTAGGTTGGCGGTTGTCTGGCGTGTAGGCCAGGTCCCCGCCATCGTGCGCTGTGGGTGGCGCCGTAGCCACAGGCTATTTGCTAGGTTGTAGCCCCTTGTGGAGGCATGCTTGTATGCTGTAATTTCCCTGGTTTTGGAGTGGATCCCTGTCCCCACTCCTTCTCTGCCCTCCTGCGCGGCCGGAGGCCGCCGGCGCGAGCGCCGCTGCAGGGACCGGATGAAGAACTCAACTCGAAACTAAATAATGAACTCTAGGATGGGTGGAAGAGCCTTATATACCATGGGCTCTCTGTCTCTCTCTCTCAGGGTCTCTCTCTCTCTCTCTCTCTCTCTCTCTCTCTCTCTCTCTCTCTCTCTCTCTCTCTCTCTCTCTCTCTCTCTCTCTCTCTCTCTCTCGCTCTCTCTCTCTCGCTCTCGCGAGCGCCGCTGCAGGGACCGGATGAAGAACTCAACTCTCTCTCTCTCTCTCTCTCTCTCTCTCTCTCTCTCTCTCTCTCTCTCTCTCTCTCTCTCTCTCTCTCTCTCTCTCTCTCGCTCTCTCTCTCTCGCTCTCGCGAGCGCCGCTGCAGGGACCGGATGAAGAACTCAACTCTCTCTCTCTCTCTCTCTCTCTCTCTCTCTCTCTCTCTCTCTCTCTCTCTCTCTCTCTCTCTCTCTCTCTCTCTCTCTCTCTCTCTCTCTTCCCCCCCCTCTCTGCCTTTCCTGGCCTCTGTCCCTGCCTCCTACTTCTTCCCTTCCCTTCTGCGTCGTTCCATTGCTCCTTCGTATCATGAGCAGGAAGATTGCCTCAAATCGTCTCTCAGGGTCCATCCCCGAATCAATAGGAAACCTCACAAGCTTATCCGAGTTGTATGGCTCCAATTTTGACCAGACCACTTCGTTTCCCACGTTGCTTCCATGTTGGATGCGCGGGCATGAACGAGGAACCAACCTTGCGTCCTTAGGGCAGGATGATTCGTGTGGTGCGCAACTTGGTCTATCACATGTTGCACTTGACTGCAGCACCCATACAAGTAATACATGGTTATCTTTGACATGTGCTTGTTCTCATCATTTAAGCACTTGCCAGTCAACATGTTCTGCCCTCCTCATTCGCTCCGCCTCTCTCATTCTCCCTTTCTATGGTCCCCTCTGCCATGGAATCGGACGCACTTACAATCGGGTCCTTCAGTAAGAATGGCCGGATGCCACTTGCGTTGTTTGTGAATCTTCCATTCGATATTGTAATTCTTTGGGTTTCCACCACTGACAATATCTAAGCCCGCATCCATTTTGTCTCACGGGACGGGACTGATTCCATCCAGTATGGGGCCATACCTACATTTTTCTCCTCTGCCCTCCCTTTATTTTCTCAAATCCTCCATTGTTCCCTATCCTCTGTCTCTGTCCATCCCCACATAATTCCCTCCATCCCTCCCTTGTTGCGTACATCCGTACAAACCTCTATCCAGTCAACAGCACTCACTTTCGTCCTTCCTCTCTCCTCTTGTCCTCTTTCTTGACCCCCTACCCATCCACCTCGTGTCCCATTAGGGATCTATCAAACAACAGTTTTACCAGCTTTATTCCATCAACCATTGGCAGCTTAACCAACCTGATATTCCTGTCAGTATAATGGGATATTAACAAGGGGAAAAAGGTTCATTCTCGATGTGACATGCCTTGATTTTATTATGTATTATCAATGCTGTTAGGTGCATTGGGGACATAATCCTTTCTGGCAGTGCCGCATGTTGGATCACAGCACATGAGCCCTTCAGAAGTTCCAACTGTGATTTTTGAATGCTTATGCAATTTTTTAGATGCTGTGCGTGAAGTGTACCCTAAGCATTCTGTGTTTTCTATCACCAAGTTTATTTGTCGTCTTATTGCTCTCATTTTCTCGTCCATGCGCCTCTGCTATGCCTGAGTAACCCTATTCGTTTTAACACATTAACTTCTGCTCAACTTCCCTTTCTGGTTTAATCGCTGAATCCATTAGAAACCGTAGCAACATTAACCAGCTGTTTGACTCGTTTAAACCATCTTACTTCGGTACATATGTTTGCAATGCTTGGTTTGATGAGAGAAGACGATTCCAAGACCATATGTACATAGTCATGAGCTTTACAGAGCGATGTCAAATCCAAGCAATCTGGTAAAGGTCTGTCCCCTGGTAGTGTAGCCTATGTCATATTTGACCTAAGGCAAGAGGGTGCTGTCCCAAGCTTTGTCACATGTATTGTATAGAGTCTTGGGGCCTTAGCAAACTTAAATGTATGCACGGTTGAAGAAGCACTAGGACCGAAGAGGTGATGGTGGAGTCACCAAGGGCACCAACGATGCCGACGAGTTGAAATGTGAGAACCACCATCCGCTTCCAGTGGTTGAAGTTAGAGCCATCGGGGAGGAGGGAGGGTAAAGTGAGTCGTCCCAAATGGCTGTCCACAGTGGCCATAGCCCCAAAATAGGACGTCCACAAAAATTTACGCGATGGCCTTAGCTGAAAGTCGAAGAAAATGTTGTCAGGGGTGGGAGGAACGTTACAGAAACATTTACGGTTGAAAAATCTACTCAGATGCAGATGGGCTGACCAATAGAGGCTTAGCTATAGCTCTGATTACCATGTAGAAAAGTAGACTTGATGTGCATAGCTGTAAGATGCACAAGTTGGAGATGGTAACGATAGGTTCCAAGAGGAGCCCTAGAAAGTGTAAGACAAAAAAGTCAAATAAAGATGACAAAGACATTAGGCTAAGTAGGCCCAGATTGTGAAGAAGAGAGAGATGGAGAAGTGCTGGGCGACTTGGGCTGGTCCAGGTGAGGAGAATGGCACCCAAGAGGCTTGGGGTGCCCAATTGGGTGCTCAAGTCGCCCATAGTCAAGGTGGGGACGTGAGGAACCCTCAAAGTGGGCCTGGAAGCGCCCCCACTAGTGGAACCGCAATTCCACAAGTTGGATTCGTGGTTCCACAAGCTGGAACCGCGTTTTCATGGTTGAGAAACGTGGGTCCAGGTTGGAGTCGCGTCCCAAATGTTGGGATGCGTGGTGAGGTACCCCAATTCGGATTCTGGGGTGCCTAGCCTCTGATAAAATCACTTGGGGGGCACCCTATTCCTAATATGACCCAATTACTAATGTCTACACCTAATATAATGTAACACATTACACATAACAGAGAAATGTACTAAGTTGACTACATCCCAGATAAAAGCCTAAAACAGATCCTCAACAACAATCACATTTTTACCGCGGGATAGGGCTGCGAGAAAAATGTGAAAAAAATATTTGTCCATCGCACGATACTCTATTCCAATAAAAAATATTGCAATCGCAAAAACGTGATAAAAACGATGCGATATTTTGCTATGCTATGCGATATGCTCATGTTTAGTGCCAGCCATCTGCCCTGTTGACAAAAGTTGCTGGCAGGTACACTGCCCTTTTAGTGAAAACAATGGGGTTAGAAGTTTCCCACAAGTCAGCGTGGGAAACTTTCAACCCCCCTTTGGTGTCAGTGTCAATCTTCCAACTGCCCTTCGGTGCGCTTTTCCCCACTACGCTCACCATTCCGCGACCTCGCTAGCTCTCCATAGGAGGCAGACCTAGACTAGACACCCTTCACTTCACCATCTAGCATGTGGTATCGTTTTAGGCCGGCAGGCATTTCCTACATAACGCAAACCCTTTTAGTGGTAACTCTAGAAATTTACATGAAGCGGAAAAATTAACGTGTTTTTTGTTTTGATTTTGGAAAATTTTGCCATCCCGGTTTTAGAATGTACGTATTTATGAGTAAATAAACGTAAAAGTAAGTTTACGAGTAAGTTAACATTTACGCGACCTCCTAAAACGTAATTTGGAGCAAGCTGGAACCCAAGAAATGTGGTGAAGGGCTGTCAGCCAGCACTAACAACGTACTGCATATTCAACATACTGCTTCCTCAGAAGGGTGCTGATTAACATTTGTCTCACATGTAGAGTCCCTTCCTCTCTGGCTCCAATCTGGAGTCCCTTGGGGACCGTACCGACCTAATAGAAACGCATGGCTCCTCTTCCTGATATGTGTCCAATCATTTCTTCTCCAAACTCGATGCTATCTCAATTTACACACTCCAGATCCTTTGAAGAAAACAATCTCAGTGGCTCGATACCGGCAGAAATAGGCAACCTTCAAGCTCTGACCGCGTTGTAAGTTCCATGATTATTCAAAGGCTAGACGCCTTTACCCCTTTTTCGTATGATAAGCTTCCAGTCAAACATGTCCATATTTCACCACCATGACATTCTTTAGTATTTCTCGGATCTATTCCATCCTCTATGTACTAGGTTTAGGGGGGACAGGGCCGAGGAAACCAGTTAGGGGGATCACACTGGTACGTGCAGCACTACATTTGTGTTTTTTGGACTTCACCTCTTTTGTCAAGTTGCTGTCATGATGGATCTGCAGGCATACAACAAGAAGATTAAGTTGTACGACAAATCAGCCTTCTTTTCTTTGTTTCTTTTCTTCATTCAATGCCCTCCTCTTATCCTCGCCCTCCATGGCTCTGGACTCAGGTACCTCGCCAAGAACAGCTTGACTGGCGTTATTCCTGACTCCATCAGCAGCCTCACGAATCTTACCGTCCTGTGAGCGAGAGCTGTCTCCTCTTTTGGAGAAGCGGATCATAGCCAGGGCCACGTGTTGCCCTTGCATCAGCTCAAATGGCAGCTTGTGTTTGTCACAAGGCTGACAGACCTGCTGATGCTCCCATTCACATGCCATAGCATTGCTTGGCTCTTCTGTTGGACGCTACTGCATCTACAATAAAGAAATGGTTCACTTCACTAATTTGTTCACAAATTTGCTGCCTGGCCACAAATCGGCAAATGAGCGCACAGAAACACATCTGAGCTAGCCCACCAAAAGCGAAATGCGAACAGCCAACCACAATCTACCCGTAACCATGCACAGGACACGTGAGGTATAGTAATGCGAGATTGCTGGCTCCATAAGCACCCACACAAAT